CTGAGTGTTCCATCCTCTAACACAACTGCTTTTGTGCTCACTGCTACACTCTGAAGTATCTGCTTTTGATAGAAGTGGAAGTCTGTGTTTTCAGTTGTGAGGCTAACAGGACCTTTTTCTTGTTCGTGCAGGATGAATCTATTGCGTTACAATAGTACCCTCTCGAAGATGAAGAATTCTATGGCCTCCCTTTCCCAGCAGCTGAAAGCAAAGCTGGACTTCTTTAAAACAAGTATCCAAATCGATCTGGAAAAGTATAAAGAGCAGATTGAATTTGGAATTAGTGAGTATAGCATCTGGCAAACTGAGGTCTTTTTATGCCTCTTATTCCCACAAAGTATCTACCTTTTCCTTTATGAACCTGAGAAAAGAAATCACTCTTGTTTAATTCCTGTAGCTTCTGAGAAACTGCTGTTTGCCTGGAAAGAGATGGAGCAAGCTGTGGAACTTTGTGGGCGGGTATGTTTCTAAATCTAACTGCTTATCCCTAAAGAAAAATAGGCTTGTTTTAATTTCCTTCCCCTCTGCCCTTTTTTTTTTTCTGCATTGTCCTGCCTTAAATAGAAGCTTTTTGTGTCTAGGCTGATTCCAGATGTCACATTGCCTTGGTTTTGGTGGCACCATTTTTGTCCATTGCCAGGACTTCAGGACGCTTACCGTGTGTCTAAGGCTTAGCGGGGAAAAGGGAGATCTTGGGGAATGCGAGAGGAGGTTTTGCAGTGGTTACACTCGGATGTCCTGCTAGCCCAATCTTGGATCCAGGATAGCTGAAAAGAGGATATGGAACATAGGTTAAACTGAATGGGAAAGTGAACGGTTAGGTGATTGAACACAAGCATTTTAAGCATCAGTCTTGAATTTTGAAAAGGCAACAATTTCGCGTTCGTGGTGCACATTCCATACCAGCTCCTGGGAAGGAATTTGGCCTTTTGACATGAGGCAGTAACCCCTGTAAGGAGGGCGAAGGACTGTCGCTTCCAGATGAGAAGTGAAAGGTCACTTGTCGATACCTTATTCTTTTTCAACACTTGGTTCTCCTCTCTTAGGAGGGGCAGAATGGCTCTCTAACAAGTGACAGCTTCTCCATATGAATGAGTTCAAGTGAAAAGCAGAATTTGGGGTGCCAGGAGTGTATGTGGTGATGTGCTGAAGGAAAAGGGGAAAAGTGGCGATGGATAGGATGGGAGATCTGGAATAGCCAAGAAAAAGGAAACATGATGGCCTGGGAACTAGCAGTAAATTTACTACAAAATCTGACACTTTAATAGCTTTTTGTGGCATGTCATTTTTTTTTTTTTATCAAAAAATTCTTGTTCTCATTTGTCTTTGTCCAAGGCTGCTGTTTGCATCCTGTTGATGCGAGTGTTTAGAAACATGAATGAGAAAGGAAGAGCCAGTGTCAGTGGTAGTGTCTCTTAGTATGAAACCACCCCATCGCTTATGTTCTACCCTGCTTTCAGGAGGATGATGTGGATCAGCTAGTGAAGAGGATGATGGCCCTGCAGACAGACATTGTGGACCTGCAGAGAAGCCCACTAGGTCGTAAACAAGGAGGAACACTGGAGGATTTGTGAGTTGAACTACCTTGAACTTCAGTTGCAGGAGTATTGTTAGCTAAGCTTATTCTTACTGCAGGACAACGACAATGCTATCTCTTCAGCTTAAATAATGGGGGACCAGGAGGACTTTGACACTGAAAGACAGTTTTTGACTCCTTACCTGTCATCAGTCTGAAATGGCAGACTGGTATATAAAAGACTTGAGTTCTTGAACTACTTGTTCATAATTTAGGTTCTAGAGGAGTCCTTTATGTTCTGTTCCTTTGTCTTCTAGAGAAGAACAAGCCAGAGAGCTGTATCGGAGATTGAGAGAGAAGCCAAGAGGTAAAAGACATTTTAGCTCAAGCTTGCTTTGTGTGGGTAGTAAGTTTGGAGATGCAGTAATGAGCACTGAGAGAACTTTCTCTGCATTCTAGGCCTGCCCATACTCTAGCTGCACATGGACTCTACTGCACTTGCCTTTTTTTGAGAGGGGAGTCAGGGAGTCAATTTTAAACTAGGCCAGCCTTGCTTTCTTGGTGCCTTCTGAGCTATTCTTGAAACTCCCCTGGAGTTTTTCTCAGAGTGGGCTGTTGCTGCAAGCATATGCTGCTGCTTCTGTGTAGGAAGGATGAAAGGCAGAGCTGCTCCTTTGAGCAGCTGTACAGCCCCGAGGCATTAGACCCATCCTACCACCATTGCTTTCCAGCTCTCATAATTTTGAAGAAGGTGGCTATAAACCAATGCAATTCATCCCACTCAAACTTGCATGCCCTGAACTTTGGATGTTTCAGGATTGAAGAAGTAGAAGAAACAAGCCACTAAAAGTCTTCTCACTCTGTCCTGTAATTCTACCTTTCTGTGTAATAACGTGACTCTCATTCCAGATCAGAGGACAAGCGGTGACAGCCAAGAAATAGTACGACTGCTCCTACAGGCAATTCAGACCTTTGAAAAAAAAGTCCGAGTCATTTATGCTCAGCTCAGGTGAGCTTTGTAGAATCAGCTTTTATTGGAGGGTTGAGAGAAAGCATTTTCTCTCTCAGCAAAAGGTTTTGCTTTGGAGGTTTAAAAATCAGCACATGCAGCTAATTGAGATCTCAGAGTGTTATAGGAAATGAGAAACTTCAGAAATGTTCCTCTACTGCAGTTGACCATGTGTGATCTTTTTTTTTTTTTTTTTAATAGTAAAACTGTAGTTTGCAAGCAGAAGGCACTGGAATTGTTCCCCAGAGTGGAGAAAGTGATGAATCTGATGAGTGAAGATGAGGAGACAGTTGTTAGGCTTCAGGAGAAACGACAGAAAGAACTGTGGAACTTGCTGAAAATTGCTTGTGTAAGTAAAATAAAAACTCCAGTTTAACCTGGAAGTATGGTTTGTAGCACAGGTTACTGAAATAATAATTACTAAATATAATATGTCCTATGGTTCTTTTCTCCGTTATTTCGAATTAGTATTAAAGCAAAGTTCCAGGCTGTTTCTGCTACTTTCCAGCAGCCAGGAGTATAACTGCAATTTGAATCTTCTGTTTTTCCTTCAGAGTAAAGTACGCGGTCCTGTTACTGGCAGTCCAGAGAGCATGAACACGCCACGTCTCGGTAGCCCTGGTCAGCTGCTCCTGCAGGTCCCTTCTGGAACCTACAATTTATCAGAATCTGTCAGAAAAAGGTGAGGCAAAGCCTGGAGTTCTGTAGCTGCTAATGCTAGCGCTACAAAGCTGGGCCTCCTGCTTTGTAAAATAATGACACACGCTCTCTCACGTTTTATGCTTTGTGTTTAGCTTCCCTTGTAAGCAATCTTTTCTACCTAGTAGCTGGACTTTCTTGGGGGTTGTGAATCTTATGAAAAATGGGGAATAATGTGCGGCTTCATTTCCCCCTTCCTCGATAGCAAAGGGTTTGTTTTATGTGGAAGAGTTAGGCTCACTTGAGGTATGCTGCCAACAGGAATTGCTGGAGTATTGTCCTGTAAGGTGATAGTAGCTGAGCTGTGCTACAACTGAGCTCATGTAGTTCTGGCTGGCTGAAATGAACTGGGTCACCAGCTGGAATTACAGACCTTGGTTTCTTTATTTGTACGTTGCCCAGTCCTTCAGTTTATAGGCTATTCTGCACTTTTTCTCCAGCAACAGTGACTTCAAGTATTAGGAACCCAACTCCAACATGCAACACACTTCCTTTCCCCTGTCCCAGTAAATCTGGGTATGCTACCAACTTTCCCAGGTGCGAAATGAATTCCTAGCTTATGAGCTGAGTTGTATACGTTAATATTCTTCAGTGCTCTGCAGCATACCTGCCACAAATCTTTCTTAAAGATAGAGGCAGCATCTCTTTAAACAAAACTGCCATGAAAAATAATTGTGTACTAATTATCCCTTTCAGTGAGGAGCTACTGCTGGAATCGCAGAAACTCTATAGCCAACTAGAAAATGTGATGCATGACACAATGAAGGATCAGGAGCAGAGCTTCATGGTAAAATATTTGCTATGTTTCTAACTTCTACATGTATAACTTTGCCACAGATAAATAATACGGCTAATAGAAATGTGAATGTTACTCTTTTGGACAAGGAGAGAGTAGGCATTGTGGAGACAGAAAGCACCCATTCCCCCACTTGAGCTTCTGTTTTGTTTATTCGCTAGGCTCTTGATTGGAGCTGGCTTCAGGAAGAAGAAACAAACAGTCCAGAACAGACCCAGATGTAAAATCACTTCAGTTGCCTCTGAAGACGTGCTGCTTCAGGAAGCCAACTGTGAAAGGCTGCTGTCCCTGAGAAGGGAAGTTCAAGTGCCTCCTTCCACTGTCACCTACTGCTTATGTGATGCCTAGCTTTAAGCATCCACCTCTCAAATACTTTTTTTCACAAAGATACAGTAGGAAATGCCTGTTCTAACTGCTTGGGAAAAGTTCTTAATCATGCCTTAAGACAGCAGATATTCTTATTCTCTGTCCTGATGTATCTTCCTTTGGCCATCACATGTGGTTGTTTTGGTGCCTTTTAGGCTTTCTGATGAACAATGGACAACATATGCAATCAGCTTGCACAGTCATGGGTAGATGTCACCTTCCTAATATACTTGAACTGTGAACTTAGCTTCTTAAATTTGCTGATTTGCACTTTTTTTTCTTTAAGTGTAATGGTTGTACTTACCTAATACTTGTTTCCTGTATGTGAACGAAGCTATCTAAAACACGTAAACGTCTGGTTTGCTCTTTTTGATACCCTCAATAGCATTTTAATGAAGCTGCCTTTACTGTGCAGGTCTCTAAAACACAAACGGTGTAAGGCTGTTATCCTAGACACCAGAGAAGGAAACCTTCAGTGTGCAGATACAGTTTAAGAAAGCATCTGCAGATTATCTATTAAATATGCTTACAGTTGCAGCCAAAAAAAACCCCCAAAAACTGCTGCACTGAGCATAGCTTTTCTGGACTTCAATGACAGACAAGACACACCTGTGTTATGTTCCAACTGTGACCAATTTATTTCATTTTGATGTAAACCCATTTTCACGATAGCACAGAGACCACCTTTTATAGAAGGCTGTGAAGTACAGGACATGCAGGATGGACTACAATAATGGGGAAAGGTGGGATTTTTGTCTGTTTTTAGGAACAGAATGAAGTACAGGAAACTGAAGTGAAATGTGGCACAAACATCACAACTTCCATGCATGCCTTCAAGTATCTTCCTTGGATGTGCTGGCACTCTCTGGACTTCAGTGTTGGGTTAAAATGATTCTTTGGAAGAGTAGAAAGTTCACACTTCTTAAAATTTCAGAGTAAGATTAAGGCCGAAACACACTGGGTACATTTTTCCTTCATCTTCCAGAGCACTGCCAGTTGTTTTACTTAAAGCTGCATTAAGCTTCCAGCTCAAATCCCAGCCCAACTTTGTGGCCTCCAGCACTGAAATTCTTGCCATCAATCAAGCCCGAGAGGGTCAGCTTTACACCTATGAAAACAAGTAACGAGATCCCTGGACAATGCTCTCCCTTCAAGTACTTGAGCCTCACTTGTGTCTTGGCTGCTATAGGAACTTCTGTATGTTCGCACCCATCTATAAGCTTGCGTAATTTCCTAGAAAATTTGTTTATCTGCTCTGTTCTAGAGGAGACAGTAAAATAACCCGGAGTGCAGTACGATTTGCTGCTACCTGTTGGACTTACCAGGTCGTAGGACATGACTGTAACCAACTCCAATCAGGCTGGCATTATTCACTTTAGCCTACAGGGGGGAAAAAAAAAAAAAAGAAATCACAGTATTTATATGCTGCATATAAATGCTCAGCCAGAATTGTACCAGTGCCCTGAGAAGGTGGCTTATGCATTAACTCCTACAACTACGTGTAGACTAGCTTCTAGCAGAGGCACATTCCAATCTTCCTTTTCTCCTCAAGAGACTCCAGCTTAAGCTTTAACAGGCTTAAATAATAGTTCCAGTCTTTCCCTCAAATTGTGACCATTATGGTTACATAAAATGCCACACTGTCCTTCACCACCCCCAGCGATGTCTTTTTATGTCCTTAAAGGGCTAGCTACTACAGTCTCCTAGTAGCCAGTGAACTCTTTCTTGTTCATAGACCCCCTGTTCACAAATTGCTTGGTAGTGATTTTTTTAAAATGAGCAATAAGTATATGAATGTGTAAACTCATTTTTGCATTAGTAAGTTTTGAGCTGTTTACAATAGTATTTCCCATCTTTAATTTTGGCTGAATTGTCCTGGAACTAATTCTTGTTACAAGGTGCAACAAATGCTTGCTACTTCAGTTCTTAGTGTCAGAATGTACACGTAATTACTTTTATTCACTGTCACTTCTCCATGGACATGTTTTGTCTCCTGAACCTAATTTTGGTTTTTTTGGCCCTAACATTTCTGCAAGAATTTGCAAGCATTGGAAACAACACTTATCTAAAGACTTCAGCTGACTTTCAAGGGTTAACTGATTGCTGGGAGAAGACTGTAAACTCAGCTGAACTTCCATCCTTTGACTGTAGTGCATTTTTACAGTCTGCCTTAGGTAAGAATTAGAGATCCTCTCTTACCTTTTGAAAACACATTTTGCTTAGGCTCCAAGCAGGCTACTCAGCATGGGCAAAAACAGTACTTTAGATTTTTTTTTTCTTCATTGTTTTGTAAATACGACCTGTGAAGTCGCAATTTAAATTTGAACCACAACAGAAGCCACAGTTTGTCATCTACTCTGCTTTCTCAGTAACTATTTAAAGCAGCTACTTTGTATCACAGATATCAGTATTTAAGGAAGCCTGAAATACTTGTCCTGGCAACAAAATTCTTACCACAATGGAAGTGTTGTCATCCGGTTGGTACTTGGCAGCAATACCAAAACGTGTGTTGTTACTGCCAGCAGTCCATGCAAGATTGACCGATGTCTCAACCTTATCGTTAACCTTTTGATAAATAGACCCACCAAACTCGGTGCCATCATTCCTGTTTGTAATAGATGCAAGCGTGTTAAGCCTTGCCTTGCCTTGTTTGGTAAATAGTAACTCTTTAGATTAACTCTTTTTCACAATCATTTGATCGTTATTTCTTAGAATGAACCAAGAGCTCCAGTACTTCCCTGGACCCATGCTCATCTACTACAGAGCTAGCCAACTCCTGCTCACATTTTTTTTTTACCCAAGGCATATTTTTCTTGCAGAATGGAACAAGACTTCCCAACTGCTGAGACCTATGGTTTGAGGTTCTGACTAAAAAAAAAAAAAAAAAAAAAAAAAAAAAAAGTATCTCAACCAACCCAGACAATGTGCCTGCTTGTCCTAAGAAAGCAAGCCTGCGATAACGCTTAAAGGGACAAATCGAGAAGGAGACTTCAGTCAGTTATGGGAACAATGAGATTGAAAACAAAGTTATTGCACTGCAGTTCTTTAAATACACTATCTTCAAAGATACTCAGCATTTGAATGCTGAGACTAGAGCTCTGCTGTGATGACAGCTCAATGCAACACACATCTCTCCCAGCTTGGCCTTTTTTGAGCCAGAAGCTTTCTGTTTGGAGAAAATGGAAGGGGGGCAGTTACCATAGCTTAACTGAAGGCCCTTTTATCTAGCACCAAAATAGAAGTTAAAGTTTACAGATTTTAATTCCAAACTGACATTATAAAGTGCCATTGTGCCACTATCTTATATACACAAACCCCAAAATTACCCTGAAATAAGGTCTCAAAAGACAGCCAAGAATTGGAAAATTGCCCCTGCTTTTAGTTGTACTGAACATGAAAACACCAAATACAAATTATTCCAAAACAAATCAGCATCCCCTTCCATCCACCCACCTTTCACCCAACTCCGTGAATGCTATTAATTTAGTTTGGCTCTTCTGATAATGTTTTTCTAGGCTCAGATAATACTTACACATTGGTGTGCAGCTGAAAGTCCCGTGCTTTATATCCCAAGGCAAAGTTATTTTGCGAAAGCTTAGATTTGGCTGTATCGAAAGCCATCTGGTAGCCAGCGAGCCAGCCTTCATAGCCCAGCACTGTCCAACCATAGATGGTTGGTCCAGAGAGATCAATGTCTACGTTGCAGCCTAGATTTACATATTCTCTTTTGTAGGAGGTCTTCAACTTTCCACTCTTCTTCCTGCAGAGAGAAAAATGCCATTTTTATCCTTGGTAATATATAAGTATGTATGTCCCTTAAAGCTAGTTAATTAAATGACTGTAATGCCTACTCAAAACTTAACAGCTGCTGAAAAGGGCATGAGATAGGAGTAATATGGGTATTATGTATCTTTACACGGTGCCGCTTACTCCTCCACCTTCTCAAATTCCTTAAAATCCTCAAGAAGCAAAAAGGACAAAAGCATTTCTGCTTAATGCTCTTAAAAACAGCAGGCTTCAAATTTTGTTCTCCACAAGAGAGTGCACGGTGTTATGGCATCATCAGTTTCTTTCAGGCGCATTCATGACATCCTGCAACGATAGCTGTTCTTTCCGTCCCTCGGGGACTTTTTGCTTGCTCCGTTTTCTACACCGTTCCTTCCTGTGCAGTGCTCACTTTCCTTCCTTCCTCACTGCTCGATGCCAGTCTCCTTCTATCGAATACAAACTTCCTCTTCCTCCACACATCATTCACATAGTCAGCCTTTTTCTGTCCCTCTGGAGAAGCCTCATTTTGCTATCAATTCAAACTTAACATAACTGAGCAAAATTTTATCCCTTCCTTAATCCTGTCCCACTGAAGACACAGCAGAACACCATGCTGCCTGTCACTCATACCCAGGCCCGGGGTCTCTTCTACTTCCTTAGATCCAAGCAGTATTTCAAACTCTGATTTCTTCGATAGGCTCTCCCCCCAAGTAAAGAAATACCAGTAATTGTTTACAAAGCAGTCTCAATCTTTGTGCATTATCCAGACATAAACACCCCTCCTTCGCTCTACTGCCTATCAAAAATAAATACATGGTAATTGAGAAAGATGAAAAAGTGCTATTCTATTGCCTATTGTAATACTTATATGGTTCTACCTCCTCATTCAGTTGTACATAGACATCTGCCCAAAAAAAAAAAAATCACACAAAAAAATAATTCTGCTTTGTGCTTTTAAGGCACTAATTTGACAGCAGTAGAACTGTCATCACCATCACAAAGATGGTACAACTTAAGTGGTCCATGAAAGACTAAGCTGTTTAAGGGGAGAGTTACAAAAATATAGTACCTACTGCAATATAACAAATTTGCCAATGGCCAGAAAGCTAAAGAATCATTTTTAGTAGACCTCATCCTTCTGAGCCCGGTATTATCCATTGCCTTAAAAATATTCCACAGAGCCTGCAGAATATTCTACACTAAATTTTGAGCTTTTACACAATGACCAGAATAAGCATTTCTAATTAAAAGTTATGGAAAATTCAAGCACTCCTTAGAAAAAGGCAACAGAAAATATTTACCCTGTGTTTGGTACAAATGTAGTGTCAAGAGCCACCTTCAATCCTTCAACCAACTGCAAAGAAAAACAGAGACATCTGCTGAAACTACCATAGCTCTACTTCCTGTCTAAAGATAAGACAAAACACAACCATCGTGTCTCCCACGTGTTTCACAATGAAATATGAAGATGCTGTATGATGAGGGATTAAAATTTGGACTTTTTCTTCCCACTACGAGGCCCTGTAACAGCACATGCTTTGTAGATACATTATTACAGGGAGATTTCAAATCTAGTGTCGACCAGAAAATTGAGAAACTGTGTTAAAGAAAGAAAACTGTTCAGTTCATGTTTGCTTATTCCCTATAGTTCCAACAATCCATATGGTAGCTCAAGAATCTCAGAATCTACAGGTATTCTTTTAAGACACGACACGGTACTACTTCACAGGCCAAACCCTGTACCTGCTTCAGCTTTCCCCCCATTTTTTTTTTTTTTTTTTGAGCTGGACAGTATTTTCCACTTTAAAGCACGGTAAAAGTGCAAAACCATAACTACAGAAGTTGATGGCCAGACATGGCAGAGGGCAACACAGAACTTCTACTGCCTTTGGCAGCATTACCCTACACTTCAGGCATTAAGTGAAAAGCATAAAGCTATTACTTTGAAAAAGAACGGCATGTTTTGAGAGTGCTGTATGCTAGCAACCCTTTGTGTAAGCAGTGCCAGGCTGCAAACACTGATATTTCTCTTCAACCTTACAAAATATACAGTCTCAACACAGCCAAACTTAAGTCCTTATGTATGTAAAGAGCATTTAAAGCTATGAGACCCCTCTTTTGTTTTCCCTGCATGACTGCAGCAGTTACAGTTCTACATCTTTAAACAAAGTCTCCTATTTGGAATGGATAATGAAGCATCATGAATTTTCAGGTGGGGCATTTTCAGAGTATCTTCTTCCTCTTACCTGATCCTCCACGGAAACTTCTGTTCCCAGTGTGTTGTCTGTGTTCCACTTCTGGGTGAATGTAAATCCATAGTCTTTGACCTTATATTTGGTCTCTAGACTACCGGAAGCCTTGCCCGTGTCTGTGTTGGAAGAACCAGTTGCAGTGAATTCCTGTCAAGAGCACAATACGAGTTTCAGCACTCTTGATATTTAATTACATTCACCTCTCAAATATTTTCCTTGAGGGAAGACAATTAATCTGCCATCACATTTCCAAGTTAAACCTCTTTTGAAGTCTAAATATACAGTGCTTAAGAGATGGCAGTATCCGTTGCCAACACATCCAAGCTTTGGAACCCTGACTTTCCAGATCTGTCTCATTCCAGGACAGTATATCCTGGATGCTGCGTTCATTACTTTCACAATTCTGGACTTTGCAGAGTGTACAAACACTGTCTTTAAATGGGTTTGAAGTGCCAGGAAAGTACAGCAGGTAACATTCCTTACACACTGGGGGGGTGGGGAAGGCATTTACTCAAGCTAAGGCACTACTACAACAGCACAGCAGTTTTATAACACATCCAGTCGCTAACAAATATAGGGGATGCACGTCAGAATGTGTTAGACTATACTTAAAGACATAATTGCTATACACTGTTCTAGTGTCCCTTCCACAAATTCTGTATAAAGACATCTCAAACCCAATCAGAATTCAGAAGTAACTTTCTTCTGTCCTGAGGGCAGGTAACTGATTAAAAAGGCTTAATTTGTTTCTCAGACCAAGCAGAGGAAAGATTGTAAAACACCTTTCTCACAGACAAAAAGCCCACGCTGTCATATGATCAAAAACCAAAGGATTTTGCCTTGGTGAGAACTGGATCTGCTTCTGGAAGCAGAAGGCACAGAGTCAGCATCTGCTGCCGTCCATCTTTAACTGTCTAAAACAGAGGCGTCTCATCAAACCATCTTGTGTAGAAGCATTTCTCGATTTTTTTTTAAGTGAAAATCACTCATTCTGGCTCCATGTCACACTCCAGTCTGAAGCACCAGTAAAACTCAGCTTCTCACTGACCCAGCTGATGGTGGCTGCCCATCCTCAGCAATGCCACGCAGTTACTAAGCCAAACCACTTGCAATCTATGAGACAATTGAAGCCAATAGACACTACCACTGCTGTTTTCTACGTCCACAGGAAAACCACCCAAAACGTGTCTGTTTTATAACGAGAGGCACTATTAATACCTAAATATGAATTAGATCTCAAGCTTTGTTTCTAACCTCATCTCCATCGCCAAAACCCCATTCTGTTGCAGCAGAACGCTCGTTAGAAACACTAAGAAGCACAAAACCTAAAGCAACAGACTGTAGCAATACTGTACTTATCTTGTTTTCCCTCCTGCTGTTTTTAGTGTTCTTATTGTGGATCGTTGGACAAAAGATTGCAAATGGCTTTACATACATGGATCATACAGCAGATTAAGAGCTATGGACACAGTCAAACTTCATGACATGGATGATAACATAACTAAAACAATGGAACAGTTTATGTATGACAGTATGCACCACAGAAAACCTTGTTAGACAAAGCAATAAAGAGCCAACATGCCAAAACAATCACTATTCTTACCAGCTGGATAAACATCCAACACAGAAGTTGCATGGAAAAGGAAAAGCACATTTTAGAACTTAATACAGTTGTTCATGTTCCATCACATTCAGAAGACAGCAAAACTAACCATTAGCATATTATCTAAGTATCAAATTTTCTAGCCAGAAAAACTATGCATATCATGAGCTGTCAAGAACTGGTAGCAGTCGTAGTATATAGAGACTACATGGTTGCTCGTGCCTACACGTTCCTGGTGCACACTGCAAGTAATCCATCAAAAGCTGCACTGAGACAGAATACAGTAATACAAAAGGAATTACTTACATGCAATAAGAATGCAAGAGAAGGAGGGAGCTAAGGCAAATTTGGTTATGAAGCAGGCTGAAGAGCAGCACAGCTTATCAACCAGAACAGCATCAAGTGGTAGCAGACACAGAGCTGAGACTCAGCATAAGAATAAGCTTATCTGGTAAACAATATATGCCTGTGGTTAAAGACCAAAATCATGAAATGCATTCCTGGTTTTGACAGCCTGCCCCTGAAAACATAAGGAAACTCCACTTCTCAATCATTAAAGTGGGGAGATCACAGTATTTTCTAGTTACCTGAAGTGCTAAAGCTTAACCGATGTCTATAAAACGCTCTCAAATTCTACGTAAAGGGTACTGCAGGAGGACTATTTGGTTTTAATTAAGTCTGGCATTATAAGCACTGTGGACATCTGTGAAAATCAAGTTAAGTTAAACTGTGGCTCTTATGTGACCCTTGGCCTTTTGGATAAAAAGTCAGTCTAGACCCAAAATTCTCTAAAAACCAACAACAGCAGAGAAACTCAATTGCATTCATAAACAGAAATGAGAGCTATTTAGGCTGAAGAAACTCTTTTATGCTTGGGATGTGACCATGGGATCAGGGAAGAAAGCCACACGTCCACAACAAAATGTGTGAAAATTCTTGCGTGCCGCAGGAAAATAAGTACCGCTGTGTCAGTTCGACACATGGTTATTGCAATACCTCAGTCAGCTACAGGTTTTAAAATGAGAACTGAAAGAGAGAAGCAACAACTGCTAACAAGTTACTACCACCAACCACTTCAGGAATTGCAGCGCTGGCGATGTTGGAAGCTCCCAGTACTTACCACCCCACTGGAAGACTTGGTCTTCACCTCTAACTTAACCATTCCAAATCCTGAAAATAGAAGAGTAAACGACATCTGTTTCACCACAATATACAAGGAAGGCTTTTGCCAACACACTCAAATAAGAGCAGGTAGACTAAACTGACTTGAAACAGCCCTTTTTTCACATTTCAGCAGATGTTGATCCTACTGAGGAACAACTGAAGGAATTTTGCCAATTCAAAGTGGGTAGCATCATAATTTATAGTCTTTACAGTCACTCATCGTCAAGTATCTCCCCCTTCTGCAGCTACCTGCAGCCTGGGACCAATCAATACAGTTACCATTTCTTCCTGTTTACTCAATTTACTTTTATATTTCTGATTGCAGGGCAGGAATTTTTCTTCCCCCCTTCCCCAAGAAAAATACGTTTCAACTTACTTCAACCAGTGCCGTATACAGAGATACTATTGCTTTCTTCCTCTTTATCGTGGTTTGGGCAGGAAAATACCTGGCCCTTGCAGGGAGTAGAAAAGCCTGAAACAACTGTCACTAAAGCAGAGAACCTGAGCTGAATTTTAGCAAAGCCTGAAATCCAGGGTGGCAAAGACCAGACCAGAGTGCTTTTTAATATTATGTAGCATATAGATTTGCGATACAAATGCAATGTTTATCACGCACTCACAAAAACAGATAAAAAACATCAACACATTTAGTACTGCTCCAGGAAAAGGGACTAATATCAGAATTTCTCCATTTAAATTCTTTGAAGAGAAATGCAAGTACTGTGAAATTACTTCTGCTATAGCTATGACAAGAGGCTACTCTGATTAACATAAAGATCATTCTACCTCAGGAACCTGTTTCTGCCACATATGGTCTATGGCAATCTAAGTGAGTCAGACTGATTTAATGCCTCTAAATACAAAAATCACAAGGTTAAAAAATGCAGCATTCTTCACTCTTCACTCAACACTCCAGAGACTGTTCTGGAGTGCTTCTTAAGGTCAAACTGATAACTTTCCCCTCTAACTTTTTACCTACTGCAGCATTTTCATGATACATGTGTAAAGTTCAAATTCAGAAGGGCCTGGATGCTCTGGGCCTGTGCTGAATACCTAGCACAAGGTATTTAGGGGATCTCTAGGGTATTAATGCTTTTATCGTCATTTTTCAAGATGCCTTAGAAAAAGTATGAAAGGTTATCAAACCACCATCACATTACTTACCATATCCCTTGTTGAATATATCCCTGGCAGACTTTCCCAAGTCACTGTATGATGGTGGGACAGCCATTGGGTCTGAAACATATTGGAAGCTCTAAGAATCTTATGTTTAAAAGCATAAAATCTAAATTGTATCTAAAGCATTTATAAGCGTTTATGACTAGTACCCTCCGCGTACTTCAGCAATACAGAACTGCAAGACCTTTGAAGAACATTCATGAAAGTCATCCTTGTATCATCGTTGCTTTGTCAGAAACAATCTTCAGTTCAAAGAAGTTATGAAAGCTGATCCATTATGTGGAGTCACTAGACCCCATGAACAGTATTACATTCAACTACATTTTCTAATACAGAGATGTTACATCCACTTAGGAGGACAAAACTCAAAAGGACAGGCATGTAGTATTACAGCTCAAGTGACTGTAAGAAGTAACTATTTAGTGTTAGTTACCACAATTTAGGGATTTTGCATCAGAAAATTCACAATAAAAGAGGTAGGAAAACTTTTCCGCAATGGAAAATTAATCTTCCCCTTTTAGAATAAGTTTGCATAAATGTAAAGTCACACCTGCTCCAGAAAAGAAAAGCTATCAAAGGTGACCCTTTGCCACTTAATCCTTCCCACAGCTGATGCATTTGTTGACATTCTTCTCTGCAACACCTGACACCAGAAACCCTGATCCCCCATTTCTTAATTATACCATACTGGAAGACTAATCTAAAAAGTAGTAATGCAAGCAAAACCGTGTAAAAATCCCTAAAGTCATCACTTTTCTTCCACCATTTTAGTTGCTTACTGATGTACTCGGTCCCTCTGCCACAAATGCAACAGTATTTGTATTAAGCAATTAAGTCCTGTTTTCAGATAATTAGCCATTTCCTAAAATTAAGCACTTGAGCAATTTACATCCCATAACAGACAAACACTCTTTGTTCAGTGATTTAGTAACTATCCTGCACTACGTATCTATCAATACAGGGACTCCATGACCCTTACGGGGTCCCTTCCAACTTGAGATATTCTACAATACCTGTAGGTTTAGAGGATCTAAAAAAGCAGGACATGACTGCAGGCTCCTTATCTGAAGATTAGTACATAAAACAGGTACTTCTCAGAATTACTACGTAAAAGGCCTTTTTACCTGTCAAACATGGAGGGAAAATTACAATCAGTGAATTATTAAATTGACAAAAGATATACAGAATGTGCATTTTTATGACAGCACAGTTTAAATTATTACAATTACTTTTGCAACATAACTATGGAACAGAGCATATCCTTCTTTTAAAACGTTTTTTCCACACAAATCTCTCAAATCAGAAGTGTCAACTCATGCTTTAGATTTGGGGTTTGGTTTTTTGGTGTTTTTTTTTTTTTTTTGTTTTGCTCGGGGCTGTTTCTTGGTTGGTTGGGTTTGGGGTTTGTTTTGTTTGTTTGTTTTAATAGGTTTGTCAAAATAGTTAAACTTGCTGATTTCAAAAGCTCAAGTTTTTGGAGCAAGGCTGATGCTTGGACGTTTTAACACAGTGATAACCCTAAATATACAGTAACTACCTAACATGCTCTTGAACCTCAAATGGTTGGGTTTTTTTTCAGCAAAAACCAACAGGGAAGATAACTTCCTGCATAAGAATTCATAAAACACACAAACAGATTTTTTTAAAAAAATGCTTTGCAGTCACAGCTGGCACTCAGAACTGTCCAGCGTTGAAAACACGACAGGAAAACTCCATAATCATATGGATTTGTGGCTGGCCTCCAAGCCACATAACTTATTTTCAATTAGAAGTTTGACAATGATTGGCAGTTAGCCACAACGCATTTGGGGAGTTGAGACTGACCTATCCAGAGTTCAGTAGACATCAGTCTTCTCTAACTTTCAAATGACATGATGTTATATAGAAAAAAAGCAAGAGCTTATCTGAAAACACGCCACAGCCCCACCTCCTCTGTGCTTTGCCCATTGCCTCTCAGATCTTTCTACCTCCCTGCACAGAAGGGCATGGGCTTTAGAAAGACAAACAACAACAGAGTTGACCACTAAGTTTTCCTGAGGCTCTCCACACCAGCTCCACTGGAACGCTTCAAGTAAAGGAGGGCTTTACCACCCTGTTCAGCACCTCAGCCTGTGTCTCCCACTTTTGGCTGACCCTGTTCTGCTTATACTTCATTTTCATAAGGCTGTCAGTTGAGACATCTTGAATATTGTGAACCTGTTCATTCTCCTAAGATATCTCTTCTCTTTACAATATACAGCTGTATTTTTTGTATTCTACATGTTTTAATGTATGTTTAAATGTGATGCAAGTATTTAAACAGCATTCTTTTAAAAGAGATTCTTCAGCTTAGCTCATTCTTTGCTAATAACAAGCAGCTCTACTCACAAGCTGGAACTGTTGACAGGACCTGAGCTCACAGTCCCACAGCTATTAATAGTAAATGTGAATTGGTCTCCAACCAGCTGCGATGACAGCAGCCGGCAAAATGCAACGTAAAGCTGGAAAGGAAACAATAAGCCAGAGATCTTGAGCTAAGCCACAGTACTCGTTTTGAGTACCTTGGTTTTAAACAAAGCTTCCTTAATGTTGTGCTTTGATTTTCCCTCCCTCCTACAACAATTACACGAGCGCAACAAACACTGGAGAAAATATACCAAGGGATAGGTTGGGGGCAACCCTACAGCGCGCAGCGAGCCGCCGCCTGCAGAAAAATAACACCGCCTTGGGAATAGCAACGGAGAAATAAACGCAGAAGAGCCGCACCGCTCCGTGCGATAACGGGGGGGGGAGGAAGCGGACAAAAATCACACACAGGGAAGAAAACCGAGAAGCGCCACGCTGCAGACGCCCCCTCCGTCCCCACCGGGGCCCAGGCCCGTGTCACGCTCCCGCTGGGGCGGGCCCCCCCCCCCCCCCCCCCCGCCGTTACTGACGCGCGTTACGCAACGGGTAACGGACCGCGGCCCCGCCGGACGCCGTACCCCCGTCCCCTCCCCCCTCAGCCAAACGGCGGCGCCGCGGGAGCACTCGATCGCTGCCGACCCCAGCCGTTCGTGCCTCCCGGCTAAGGAGCCGAAGCGCTGCCAAGACGGCCATCCGCCGCGCGAGAGCCGGCCCGCGCGCCGGAGCCATCGCCTCAGCAGCCCGCGGCCGCGCCGGGCCCGAGGACGCCGAAGCGTCGGGCGGAGCGAGCGCCCGGCGTCCCCGCGGGGCTGTGGCCCGTCCCCGCCCGCGGCAAGGTGACTCGAGGGACGCCCGCCTAGACCCGGGTCCGCCCGGGGAGCGCCGCGGGCCCCGGTGGGGGCAGCCGCCCACCCCGCCACGGCCCACCGCTACCTGCCGGCCGCGCTGCCTGCGGGTAGAGGTCTCGGGGTCCCCAAGGCCGCATGCGCCGCGCCGCGCCCCCGCCGCGCCTGCGCACCGGACGCCTACCGCTGCTCCGGCCCCTCCTCAGGGCCGCGGCTGAAGCCCCGGGCGCCGGCCCCGCCTGCGGGAGAGCTCCTCAGCGCCCGGCCCCCTCGCCGCTGCGAGAAACGGCGGCGGAGCGGACGGAGCCGCCTCCGGTCTCGGTGGCCCGCGGGAAGCTGAAACACCCGCTCGAGGTGCGCGAGGCGGGGGGAGCGGTGAGCGGGGCCCGGCCCTAACGGCCCCCGCCTCCCCCGTGGCGGAGCAGCTCCGCTTCACCCGGCCCGTCGCTCCTAACAACGTCAACCGGGTCTCGAACTGCTGCTCGAACACGGGCCCCAAGCAGGGCCGAGGCAGCCCTAAGGCCAAGGAAGGAGAGGCGGCCCCGGCCTCGATGTCAGGCCCTGCAACCGGGACAAGGGCAAACGCTGACGGAAGGGAGCAGCCACTATCCCTAACAAACCCCAAAGCCCCGGGGTTGTACAAACAGCAGCAGTGCATGCCCGGTTATGAAGAGGCCCTGGGATAAGTCCAGGGTTCGCAGCTGTTCCCTCCCGTCATTGCCAGATGCCTTGCAGTCCAGTTTTGCAGGAGGAGAAAAGAATGAAGCGTAAGCAACCCAGAGCAAGGGCCAATTAACTGGGGGTGGGCAGGGGAGGAACTAAAAAAAAAAAAAAAAAGAGAGAGACACGGTACATTTTATGGATTGAGAAGAATAAACAGACATGCTGAACAAGCCCTTTTTTTCTTCCACCTAGAATTCAGCATTACAGCGAGAGATTACAAGGCCAGCAAATTCTGCCAAGACAAAAGTAGCCGAGGATGATGGAGAACGCAGTGGTGTAATCCATTTGTAAGTGTGGTTTGTGTTACTGCTTTTTGATGCTCTTAAAATTACACCTAAAAAAACCCTAGCCAAACAGAATTACACATTTATGATGGAATTTTCACTTCATTTATTCCCACTGATTATTGAAGAAAACATTGAATAAATCAGCTATATTATCAGAAAACTTCACATAGTACCAAGTTAACTTCTAGTCACCTTATATACCAGTGCATGCATTAGGGCTGGGGAACGTTCCCAGAAAATAGTTAAACTCCCACTAGGAAAAACAGAAGAAAATAAAGGGATAAGCAAGAGTATAAATCTATAATCTCCATTGCTAAGACTGATCAATGCTAATTATATAAAATGTAACTGTTCCATAGGCTTAAGTCAGAGAAAAATTAATAAATAAACTATTACATCCGTGTTCATTTTATGATTCAAGTCAGGTTAAGCAGTCTGAGAATACAGATGCAAACTCCTCTCTGCCCCCAGTAAAGGCAGACAAAGGACCTAATCACTAACAAATCAAGACAAATACCATATAATTAGCAACAGTCAATTTGACTATGTATAAAATAGTCTCGCCTTGACAAGCTTGCAATTCTGTAATATATTTGCCTTATACTCCTACAAGGTATTAAAATACAGTAACAGCAATACATTCCATGCTGATGCTCTATAGTACATAAAAGTTAGTAGTTTACTACTTAAAATTAGTTAAGTTATAAGTTAACCAACAGAATCCCTGTCCCAAATGCAACTAGTAATACAATCTTGACAGGACCTCCTCTCACATCCAAAAAAATCATTACCTTATACAATGATTTAAGAGAAGCTATAAAACCAGAGCTGACAGGTTTGCATATAAAAAAAGGCAAATTTGCCCTATAGAAGTGGTAGGAGTGCATCAATTAATCGGACAAATCTTCTGGGTAATGGCAAGTTGAACAAAATATAGTGAGCTGCAACCAACAGTACAATGACTTATCTAGGAACACATAACACTGGCCACATGCAACAGGAGAACGGTGACATTAGCGTATGGCTGTATTGAAAGATTTTAGAAGTAAGGACACAGAAACAGCTTGGCACAAGTTTCAGCACCGCACCAGGACACTGAACAGAGATAAGGAGATATAGATAGTAGCTGAAAATGGTATTCTTTAGAAGTACTTCAGGACACAGCCAGCTTTCTTATTCTGGTGTCTACACATACATAAGACACAAAGAGCTAGAAAGAGATCAGAAGAAAGATCTAGCAGACCAGTATGTGGTTCTGAGGGGGGAAATGCATACACCAGTTCAAAATTTCAATCTCTTAACCAGGAGAAGGCCTGTTAACCAAGAGAAGAGGCTTCTGTCTTCAGAAGTTGGATTGTTGGTGCTAGATTAAACAGTTGTCTGCTAAAAGCACATTAGACAAATATATTATTTAAATTGAGTGGATGGGTTTTTTCTGATTGGTTGTTGGGGGTTTTTTTGGGAAAAAAAAAATGCTGAAAACCAGACTTCACTTACTCCTCATCACTTGACATTTTTGGATCAAGGCTTGATGTCAAAAAAAAAAAAAAAAAAGAGTTAAGTAACATTTACGCCTTCATTGAGAATGGATCTGTGTGTCTTTAAAAATTTGTGCAAGTATAAATCTCTGAATGTTTAAGAATATCAGGTGCTTGATTTTTCTCTCAAGGCACCAGGACAAATGTGCCACAAGGTGAAGCATCAACATTGTTCAGAGACTGTACAGCCTCTCGTTAGATTTCTCATCCCCTTTCTCTGCTTTCTAGGGAAACTCAGTGCCATTTCTCCTCTTCCTTTTACTGCATATCTGAAAGATGTTGCTATGTACTCTCAGATGCCTCCTCTGACACTAAATTGTAGTGTCAGAGGTACACCCACAGTACTGCTGTGTATTGGCATTGCCATTACTTTGTAAATAAAAGCAAGGTCCATCCTGGCAAAAGGCTATGTCTGCAAAATAACCTCCATGCATGTGTCTCATGCAATGACAACATTATTTTCTTTTAGGCTCAATTATAACAAATGGGATTACTGTTACAAGAATTTGGCAGTTATTTAGTTAACGTGCATAGTGATGTTCTTAGATGAAAAGAAATAGAATGTTTTCTGCTTTTGTTTCTTTGGGCAACACAAAGCTCTCAGGAGCTCACCACAATTGCAGATGGTGGTCTGCATTGCTGTACCGCTCATAGGGCCCATTACACCAAGAGCCAAGCACATAAAACAAGAACTGCAAGCCCTCTCACACCCACTCGCCCAACTGGAGAAATGGACACACAGGAAAACTATTCTGGAGAACTTCCAAGGAGTTCTCCAAAACATGCAACTGCACTGTATTCAAAGACATAGAGAACAGAGGCAACTGTGTAAGAACAATCTCTACACAGGCACACATCCTTGTAGTTTTAAAAGCCACAAGAGAAGTTCTTGCAGCCAGTTTCAGCTGGACAAACTCTACAGGGAAGACACTATGTAGTACAAGAAAAGCACACCTGTTTTAAAACAGCAACCTCATCAGCAGAGCTAGTGCAGAGGAGACAGAAAATAATCCTTTTATGTACATCAAGAATTTCCACATTTACAAAATCTATGCATACCTCACCAAACCTGTAATAGATGCTTAGCCAGTAAACAAGGATTACCTTCTGGGTAAGAGAAACATCCACAAAGAAGATACAAATTTGTTCAGAACTGGCAAGGGAGAGCTCTTGTCTAAAAGAAACCGCACTTCAGCAGACATGACTGCATAGCATTCTGTGTTCCTTACAGAGGAAAACATGGAAACCTTAGGATTTTCTTTGGATCTCTTAAATCATTTCAGTAGGCCATTTGGGGCTGAATAAAAGGAGAAATCCTGAATGAGGCTGGGGTAGAAGGTCACTAATCCACGGCCAGGGCATGTCGATCATGGCTTTGTCACAGGGAAAGAAGCTAGGACGAATCTGTGGACAACAGAGTAGATGAAGAAAGGAGAGAAGGGCAGATGACATGCTGGTCAAGAGGGAGAAAGCTGCCTTTTGCACCTCTGTCTGTGCTTCTGGGCTTTACCGCACACATCATTTCCAAACCAAAATCTGCAAGCCAGTTAGTTCTCAGTGACATTGCTCAATATCCAGATGTTTTTCAGCACTGTGACCACAGCTTCAGTTCATCTTGTCAAACACTAGTCAGCAGAGCAGCACTACGATCACTCCTAACCGCCTGCCAAAAGACTAATACAAATTAGTAATGCAAAGAAGTACAAAAGAATGTACACTTTAATCTAGAGGTGTTTGTACACTGTGCCACAAACTTGGGTCTCCTGTTCCACGAGGTAACAGCAGCAACTAAGGAAACATTAGCCCGCAACACATGAGCACCTAAACACCTTACGTTTATTTCAGTCCATAACCCCAAGTGATAAGCATTAGTGTGTCCAGTAGGCTGACCCAGTCTAGGAGATTCCTTTCCCTTCTCTCTTGGCAAGCAAGTTAAATGAAAATTAGTTTCTTTAAAAGCTCAAAAGAATATTTTAAAGTGTAGATGCCTCAAATATTTCCACCTGGTGTCAAAGTAAGCAACCTGTAATGTTTAACTACGCTGCAAAGAAAGTAACTGGCCCAGCAGATTTCCAGTTCTCCATTTCTGGAGGTTTGTGACAGCAGCCAACAGAGATGTGAATAATGGCTTAAAATTCTACTTCAAGACTGGAAAGTGTCTTCCAAAGACACATACCCCATTTCCTTTTCCCATTTGCTCAGTTTGTTCCCATTCACTGCCAGGGCCAAACCTGATCTATGGTTATTTATAAAGCGCCTGCTGCTACAGACAGATGCCGTAGATTATCTTCTCAAGCAATTTATGCCAGCAGCTTGTATGAGCAAAACGTTCATTTAAGCATTCCAAAATGCTCTACAGACTTAATTACTCAAACTGCTTTTAAAAAAACAAAACAAACAACTTTAAGAAGTCATACATATTACTTAATGAGACAATTTGCAACAACTACACAAAAGCAATGGTTACCTTCCAAGTCTTTCAACCTCAACAATGTAAATAGCAAAAAAAAAAGTTACAATATTTTCTCTAAGAACTGCCCAGCTTTCAGATATTAAATAGTTACTGATGTTTGCATGGAGTATATCTGTGTATATGATATTAACACATAGAAACATCAGAACTCTGATCGGTTTTTGCAAAACTGCAAAAAACAAGCTAAGGCGGCTTGTTCAGTGAGAGATACCCAGACTTTTCTAACAATGACCACAGCCCAAGGGCTACTAAATTTATTAGTGAAAAACTAATAGCTTGATCACCACAAGTATTATCAAACTAAAGCACATAGCCTTTTATAAAAGGCTAATATTGTTTTGTAAGACTTTCCAGTGACTCCAATGAACCAGCATTAATTTTGATTGACAGACACCATCTTCAAACCAAGCCACAAGAAATTTATTAAGAAGAAACATTTTACCTTAACGTCAGAACTTTCTGCTCCTAAGGCATTAAACAAAAATCTGTGATTTACCATCTGATCTTTTTTTTAATAAATCCCAAAGCAAAAGACAATATGCATTCTCTAAAGGGTCTGACTGCCACATCACCTTCCTCACAGGTTTTTCTAATATCACAGCCCATTCAGTTAAACACAGCAAGCCTTTTAATCAGCTTTAATGGGGAGGGACTGAGGGCAAGAGAGATCCAAATGAGATCTTACAGGATTTAATCTTCACTACAGATTCTGTGCTAATGCCATGGACTTGCTTTAGACATTCAGTAATGTACGCTTTTTGCAATAACATCCAAAGAAAGAAAGTACACTTTGTATATTCATAAGATGCTAAAAAAACATCCCTAGGTTACAAACCTAGACAAGCAATTATTCACTGCGATCCTTTGGCTCTCGGTATTTCCACTGGATATAGTCAAAGATGTCTTTTTCACATTCTACTGGCAGGGCCTCCCCAGCAACTCCTGCAAGCAAATTACAGATGCTATTTGAAAAGTGGAAGATCTGTACAATCCTGAAATACCAAACACATTGCCAGATTAAGGAAAACTGCTGTAAGTAAAACAGACTTAAAAAAACCAAACACTAAAACATCTCTCCCATCTTTTCATACAGTGTTTCGGTACTGATTCTCATTAGTGTCAAAAGAAATAAGTTAACAAATTAACTTTGAGGCCATGTGGTTATGCAGTTAAATATATTTATATTCATATATGTGTGTGTGTATAGATATATATAGTCAGCCCCCCTCCAAAACCAAAACAACTGAAGGACATGACATACCCTGTTAAGAACAGGAAACCACATATGTGCCATGTGTGACACTGAAAAAACAATCTTTAGGTAAGACTTTGAGTAAATTAGGTGGCCCAAAGAGGTAACTTTGTTCCACAGCGCTGCCCATACATAAGTGGGCTACCTCTTCCTGCTCTTATGGTGTCGAACACCAGAAAGGAGACACTGAAAAATTTCATGACCTACAGTATTTATCACAAGTATTTCCAGTACACCAATTTAAGGAGAAGATTACACAAAGCATGTAACAAGAAAAAAATACTCTGTGGAAAGGCCCAGACTGACCAGTGACACCCAAGGGACGGATTGTATACTCATTGATCGTGAAGCCCATTTCCAGAGCATGAGCTCTCATGTTCTTATTGAATATATCACTTCCTGTGAAATACAGTACACCACAGTAATACTGATCTTTGGGGATAAACCTAGAATAAAAGCAGAAGAAAAGAATTTAGATTAAGAAAAAAAACAGGTGACAAAAAAGTTACAAGCCACTTTGAATTCACCCATTCAGAGATTGTTCTATGTTTACTTCCTGTTTACATGCACACTGTACATTTGATTTTCCTATAAGCCAGATGCAAGAACGAAACAAATGGTTTATCAAAGAAAGGTCCAGCACATCTACCCCAACTACATAGTTATGGTGCTTGCACTCCTGCCAAGAATTAATGTCAAAGCAGTATGATAAAGTAGGTCACAACTGTGAAATTGGATACAAAGTCATGATTTAAAATGCAGCATTCTTGCTAATAACCTGTTGTAGATACTGGCAGTTGTACAGTGGCTTCCATACTGCAAAGAAATTAGAAGTATAGTAAATGCCATGTTCGGAATGTGCAATTAGAGATTTGAATGCAGAACTCGATGCAGATGCCTACTATGCAGCTGACAGCTAAAGTTGGAGGGTTGGGGTTTTTTTTGGTGTTTGTACCGGATATCGATTCTCCTATGTGGATACACTGTTCCATCTTCTTTATTTGGCAGCTGACAGACACCCTATGAGGAAGCAAGGAAAGCAAGAAATTCAAAATTAAACAGATTTGCAATCAGTCTTCACCTCCCCACCCCTAAACAACCTCTAAACAATCCTCAGTCATCCTGGAGAGCAAAGTCAAGTTCCCACTGAACTGATTAAATATTTTAATAGAACAGCTGCACATCAGAGTATCGTAAATCACTATTTTACACTGCTAAGAGGACTGTAGCATATAACTGCTTCTTAAGTTTTTATTACAGCAGGAAGGATCACAGGGCTTCGCATTTCCCATTCTTCTGCCCTAATTATTATCAGGTTTTTCAGTATGCACAAACACCAGGAGTTTAAAGAAAATGCAGACAAAACTCAAGGTAATAGTAATAAAATTTTTTTTAAAAAAAAGCTTCTTCCTCAAGAAATCCTCTGCCATTCTTCACTTCAAACTGCTTTGTAATCTTCATGCAATTCACATGACATCCGTCACCACCAAAAAAGCCTTACCATGAATTTGGTGTCACCTTTCGACAGCATATCTGTGACAAAGTGGACTTTTTCCAGTTGTTCTACAACTTGATGCAGAAGTTTTGACTAGGAACAGTGACAACACAGAAGAAGAAATGATTTCACAAATAACAAGAGTATCTTGCCCATTTACTAGACAATGGCCCACATAAGTACAGGACGTCACTATAATTGCATGTATTAGCGTACGTGAAATTTGACCCAGAAGGGAAAAAACAAAGATAACAATAAAAATGAGAAAAAAAGCTAATAAAATTACAATTGCACAACATAAAAAATTTTTCACTGAAATTCCCGTATCAGATTGCTTTCGTTGGAAGTGACAAAACTCATTTCTTGGTTTGAGTTTTCAACTTTTAAACAATGGATCCATAGAAGCAACACAAGAAATACAAACTGTCATTAAGACTCCTCCAGAGTTAGTTCCAAAAGATTATAAGGGCAGGAGGACGTTTATTTCTTGTCCAAAAGATTATAGCTACAAAATGAGATATTTACTCTACCTACTTTATCCAGCTAGCTGTTACCGTTCTATCTTGTAAAAGCACATGAATTCGAGGGGGCAAGGGGAAGGAGGTGTGAAGGGAAAAGGAGGGACAGAAGGATAAGAGAAAAGTGGGTAGTTCTGCAAGAGGAACACAGCGTAATACATGAACCTCAGAAGGGGTTATAACTCCCTAAAATAAACATGGTGATCCAAGAGTTTACTATTGCAGTAACAAAAAAGATGCAAGAAGCTGCAATACAAATCTGAGACTACGTATCTTCTGAATTTAAACATACACATGTGGAAGTAATGCACAGTACTGATCCACAGCAGCAGAAAGACACACCTGTTTGGATGATTCAGACGTGAAACTTGGATGGGTTAGGAGAACATCCATATCGCCACTGGACTCTGCACCTAGGCAAGCAAGACGCAAAGAAAAATCCCTCTGCACATGACAGAATATACTAACATTGGTGAACATCCATCTAACCTCATTCTACAAAAATGTTTTTCTGGTAGAAAATAGTCACTATTCAAGATATTTGCAGGGGAAAAAAAAGAAAAACCTTAAGAAAGTCTTGTTCTTCCATCAAAAATTTATATCCCTGCATCTCTCAGAAAATACCCAAGAATTTCTTGCTGTACTCTATAGCAATGAAGCACGAGTGTTGTTAATCTAAAACCAAAGCAAACAATTCACATTACAACAGATTACTCTTTACAGGGGTGCAGCGGAGAACCAAGGATTTATGCAGGTGTTTTGTCACTGAACTAACCAGTCAAGGCAACACTAACATGAAAAGCCAGGTTCCAGCACAGACTTTCTAGAACAACAACATATATTGTAATGAGTCTTGCTTATTAGCCCAAAATAAACATAAGATCACAGAGTACCAACCTCGTCTAAAACTGCCACAGACTGTAGCAATATAGTTTGGGTCCAGCTTCTTTACCTCTTCCAGCACAATTTCCTACATAAAAGGAAAGATGTGTGTTTAGTGGTGTCAGTCAGTCATTGGCCATCAATGCCTCACATCTTCAATAAAGACATTCATACCTGCATTTGCAGCATTTCTTCCCTTGGGATTCTTTTCTCAAAATCTTCAAAATATCTGTGTACATAAAAATAAAAGCATCTGAAAGAGCGGCAAGGGTAGCATCTTATAATTTTAGTCAATCACGTGTGCATCAGAGAAAAGATTATAACTTATATTATTGTCACGTCACAAAAAGCTTCCCATTCTCACCAAATATCTTAGAATAACATCTTGCCAAGCAATAAAAACTCACAACTGTAAGTTTGACGATGTTTAGAAGATGGTTTCATTGCCATTATTTCCACTGTATATGAAGAGCTGCTATGAGGTGGGAGTAATATTACTGTATAACCAATTGTTTTATATTTGGACCTGTTGGAGTAGATCTAGAGGAGGCCACAAAAATGATCTGAGGGCAGAGGGCTGGAGCCCCTCTGCTGTGAGGACAGGCTGAGAGAGTTGGGGTTGTTTAGCCTAGAGAAGAGACGGCTCCAGTGAGACTTTACTGCAGCCTTTCAGTACTTAAAGGGGGATTACAAGACAGATGGGAAAAAACTTTTTAGCAGGGCATCTTGTGATAGGGGTAATGGTTTTAACCTAAAAGAGGGTAGATTTAGACTAGGTACAAGGAAGACTTTTTTACAGTGACGGTGGTAAGACACCAGCCTAGGTTTCCCAGAGAGGGGGGAAATGCCCCATCCCTGGAAACATTCCAGGCCAGGTTGGACAGGGCTCTTAGCAACCTGATCAAGTCGAAGATGTCCCTGCTCAAGGCAGGGGTGGTGGATTAGATGGACTTTAAAGGTCACTTCCAATCCAAACCATTCTATGGTATTTATATAGCTCTCCGAAAATACAAAAGGTTCCTGACAAAACTCAGTCCACCACCAAGCAGGAGGAACAGGCCCCATGACCACAGTCAGAGGTGATCCATGCTGGAAAGAGTTAATTCAGTCTGAATAACTGCTGAAAAACATTTAGAGCACACAGAGAGGACAGAACTTTACTTGGCCTGTGTAACCTCACATTACATCCTGGTGTCTGAAGGAAACATTAGACAAGCCAAGCACTTGCACCCAAGAAAGCTTACTTCAACCCAATTCGCTGGTGATGAGTCAGCTTGTGCTCATTTTTTCTTAGATCTAGAAGAAAGAAAAACAAAAATGTTATTTGAGGGCTAAAAATCTTACAGGAAATTTCCACCAGTGCAAAGAAAATGCACACAAAGAATATGTAACAGGGTAACAGTAACCTCAAACACAAAGGAAGAGATTTTAAACTGACTACTCAACAGCCAATAGGACGAGTACAAACGCACAGGGCACTTCCCAATAAAAATTCAACAGACCGTTCACCTCAAAGCCAAAATCTTTGTTATTTTTCATGTAGCCTGCAAGTACTTTGAATATGTATGTAACGCCTTTAGCCTGGGCACTAACTTTAGCATCTTAGACAGTTTCGTCAAAGCCCAGGGCATATCTGCCATTGCAGTACCCCTATGGAACAGGCAGAAAAAAAAAAAGCATTATTGGAGTGTGAATTGAGGGACCAAAGTTACACTTACCTTCTAACGTCTTAATTCCTTCCTCAACAAGCTTCCTAGCAGCAGCAGGACTGCAAAGAGACAAGGCAATTCGCCATCAGGAATAGCGAGAATCTTACAACATTGACAAGGACATTGCAGTTCACTGTAACTACCGTGGTTCTTCAAGACTGCAACTGAAGTCACTTTCAGTCAGCAGAGAAGGCTATCCAAGGCTTGGCCAGCACATATTTTAGCACTGACTTTTTTTTTTTTTAAACGATGTAGTGATGCGTATTTTAAAAAAATAAACAAAATCTCACCAAATTGTCAATATTGCTTTAGACAACACCACTGGCTGCATGATAAGAACTACTTTAGCTTAAGGCAACAGCAACACAGTGTCTTTAGGCTAGCACTTCAAAAAAGCCCAGAAAGGCTCCAGTTGGCAACTAAGAGTACAGCAAAGCAGTCCCATCTCCAGTTTGGCTGGAGACTTTGCCTTAAGCACAACACTCAAGGGCATGGTTGAACCTTTTTCCCCTTTAAGGGTTTGTCATTAGAATAACTTGCGTGACTCTGTGGGAAAAGAACAACATTTCAACTGTGAGAAAGGCATTCAAGTAATGTTATACCCAGATACCTTTCCAATACCTCAAAGTGCTGAGGACCACCAGCCTGGAAGCACAGTCCCTTCCAGGGAAACTCCTCTGGAATCCCACGGTTACAGCTCCACCCCTCTTTGAAGGCTTTGAATTAATTTCCTCAATAAAACCCTTACATTACAATAGAATTGTCAGATCTTGACCTGCCATTTACTTCCTTTCTTACCTTTGCCTACATGCGTTGCCAGATTCCGGACCAAGAGGGACAACTTCCACTGTTCTGAGACAAGACAGCACCCAAGCTTCTCCTGCATCCCATCCCAATTTGTCAAAGGCATTCTGAAATCCCAGTATATCCTCAAACTCCGAGCGTGTTTTCCCTCAGAATTACTTGAGAATGATCACATTCCCTACCCTCAACCTCAAGGGTTTCAAATGTTGCACAACTGCCCTGATGGTTTTTTTGCAGTTCATTGCGTATTTCAGGGCTTTACTACTCCTTTTACAAACACACAACAGAGCACCATTGCCCCCAGACCCAACTTCCCAACAACAGTCCTAAAGGGACTTCTCACTTCCACTCTTCTCAGTCTTTCATAGCTGTGTTCTTCACCAGCTTCTCTCTTCTTCCCCTCTCAGCTTGCACAAAGAAGCTTCCCACTTCTACTCCTCTACCTCAAAGTCTGTAATTGACAATTCTATGCCTTTCTTCTCAGCCAATCATGTCATCGCAACTGTGGTGTCTCACTGTGGGCACAGCAGCATCAGCTCAAACTCATTCTCTTCATTATTTGCAATCACCGAAATTCTGTTCATAAGTCCACTAAGTAAACAGGAGAAGGACCAAAACCAACCAACCAAACAACTTTACCCAATGCCAGTAACTCGTGTCAGTAGATTGATAGATGCACTTGTATCATCTTGTCGAATCTGCAAAAACAAAACAACAAACCAAACTCTTCTTTACTCCACTTGCATTAAACAAGGAAAACTTGAGAAGATGAAACAGCTTAGTCAGACTCTGCTTTAAGGGGTCACTATAAATCAATGCAAAACAGTACCAGGAGTAATACTCTGTATCACAATAACGCCATATGTACCGAGCCTGAAAACAACCTAACTACCCATGGTAAGGTGAACAGCACGGTTAAACCACGAAACCCCTCCAGAGTCAAAATTCTACTTCTCACAGAAGATATTCATGTGCTGATTATATAACCTAAAATATTTTCATAAATAGACTGTTTTGAGCCCTTGGCAGAGCTTCTCATTCCCTGCTTTCTACTCCCCATAGACTCCTCCATGTCCACCATTCTTAAGTTTTACACCAGCCTCTCCAAGAACAGCAGAAACTGCAGAAAGCAAGCAGGCTACTTTGCAAGTTACAAAGAAAAACAACTATTGAGAGATAGAGCACAAGGGAAAGAAACCCACCTTTTCCAATTTGCGTAGTTTTCCAGTGGATAAGAACTCGTCTATCTTCTCAGCTATTTTAGCACCTACTCCATCCTAAATATTGGGGATGTGGGCGAGAGATCACTTAACTTCAAGATCACTTAAAGCCATTACATCTAGAAAAAAAGGAAAGCTCCCCAGAATTTAGAGTCCAGAAAGAACTATGATGCCACTGAGACCTTGATAAAATGTGAGACCGTCAGGGAGCACAAGAATTCATGGGTACAATACAAGCAGCATGAACAAGGGCTATGTTAAAAGTTCCCCCAAAGCAATAATTTTGAAAAAGGCTCTGTTTACCACTGCTCGACTTCCCCGAATTTCATGAAACAGCAACAGATTTAAGGGGAAGCCTGCTACAGCGGAACCCTCGCAGGCAGAGACTCAGCCGGGGTCCTCCACTCTGGCCACAGCACCCCTCGGCAGCCACACCAGGCCCCGCGCTGCCCCAAGCCCCCGAGAACCCCAGTCCCACTTCAATTGCCCCAAGGGCCCGGGTGGGGGCACCTACCAGCTTCTTGGCTTCAGCCCCGCTCCTTATCTTGCTGGGGTACCGGGAAATAACCGAGGCTGCTTTCCTGCAGATCGGAGCCGGTCAGCACCCGAAGGCGATGCCGGCCCGGCTCCCGCGGCGACGGGCTGGGTCCCGGGGCGGGGAGGGGGGGAGACTGTACCTGTACGCGTTGTACTTGTGAACGGCCCGGTTCACGTTGCGCTCGTAATTGGCCAGCTCTGCGGGGAGGAGCGCGGTGAGAGCGGCCGGCCCGCGGCGAGAGCGGCCGGCCCGCGGCTCTCGCCCCCCCCCCCCCTGTGAATAAAGTTTGGGTTTCGATCCCCATGGAGTGGAAGTGACTCAGAGAGGCACAACCAATGTGTCCTGTGAAACAGCCAGTCCAGCTGTGGATTAGGATTGTCCACATTACAGAGACTAAATTAAACTAGCTTGCTGTGTTCAGTACCTAAATACCTATCTTAGAAACACTTCACTCATTTGGGTTTTGTCTTCCCCCCCCCCCCCCCCCCCCCCCGCCTACCCGTGAGGAAGTCGGTGATGCCCTCGTTGGGACTCTCCTGGGGAGCCTTCCGCTTGCTCATGGCCGGCACCGGGCGGCGGCGACTAGGCCCCGGATCGCAAGCAGCCGCTTCCGGCGATGACGTCACAGAGCGCCGCCGACCCCACGCGCGCGTGACTCAGCCACCCCGGCCGCGCCCACCGCCCGCCCCTTCCCACAATAACCTGGGGCCGGAAGGCGGTGGCTCCGTTTCTGGCCTGCACGGCACCCAGCGGAGAAAGCGGCCTTTGCTGGAAACGGGGATACCGGTTCTTGGGGGTGCTGGTGGACGAGAAGCTGGACGTGAGCAGGCAGTGTGCAGTTGCAGCCCAGAAGGCCAGTCCCATCCTGGGCTGCATCAAAAGGTGCGTTGCCAGCAGGTCCAGTGAGGGGATTCTTCTGCTTCACTCTGCTCTGGTGGGACCTCACCTGGAGTATTGTGTGCAGGTCTGGAGCCCTCAAATAGGAAAGACATGGACCTGATGGAGCAGGTCCAGAGGAGGGCCACGAGGATGATCAGGGGGTTGGAGCAGCTCTGCTACGAGGACAGGCTGAGGGAGCTGGGGTTGTTCAGCCTGGAGAAGAGGAGGCTCCGGGGAGACCTAATAGCAGCCTTCCAGTACCTGAAGGGAGCTACAGGAAGGCTGGGGAGAGCCTGTTTAGAAAGGCCTGCAGTGACAGGACGAGGGGCAATGGCTTTAAACTGGAGGGGAACAGATTTAGGTTGGAGATTAGAAGAAAGTTCTTTACTGTGAGCGTGGTGGAGCACTGGAACAGGTTGCCCAGGGAAGTGGTTGAGGCCTCATCCCTGGAGATATTCAAGGGGAGGCTCGATGAGGCCGTGGGCATCCTGGTCTAGTTGGGGGTGTCCTTGCTGACTGCGGGGAGGTGGGACTAGATGACCTTTGGAGGTCCCTTCCGGCCTGGACGATTCTATGATTCTTTTATTGCAACTACATCGATTGCATCAACCACTTGACTGGGTAGGGAATTAAACTTAATTTTTCAGTGTCATAGAAAGAGATAGACGTCACAGTAAGCTATGTAGGAAGGTACTTCATTAAATGCAATAACAATATTATTATCAAAATGTATGTGTTTTAGTTTCCTTTAAAAAAACCCAAACGCAGTGTCATGGGGTCGTGCTTCATTTCTAGCAAGACTGTGCACACTACCGACCTTCTGCCAGAACTGTGTCCCGGATAGGACTGTGTGACAAAGCAGGGTCAGATCCCATGAGAACTGCTACCGTTTCTCTGGAGTCACCCTTTCTTCTGCTGTGACAGCACAGGAGGGATGGAGAGGATCTGGAGTGCTCTGTGAGGTACGAGGTACGTCTCCGACATGCGTCTGCATTTTTCCTAAGGTACTTGTGGTATGAACTTTGAAGTTAACATGAAGGATGTGCCAGCTCTCTTATACCTTTTCTGTGAAATATTTTAACACAAATACTAAAAATAAGGTCTGTTCTGGAGCATGATTACACCTATGCAAATCTTACTTCCCTCCATTTATTTTCTCTTCCTGAAAGATAATCTCTTTTTGCACGCTATTAGATGATACTGTGAAAACACTTTTGTACTAAAAAAGGGGAAAAAACTGTTCATAAGAGTTCAGGTGTTCACATGAAGCAGACTTGCTTTCGTGATAAAAGCTTTATGCTTTTTCAGTCAATACGTCTTTAAAATACCTTGCAGTAGTACTCAAAAAATTAATGGAGATACTGGCATCTGTACTGAAATCAATTGAGATCAAAGAAGAGACATGGACGAAACAGGACGAATCAGTGTCGCTTCTGTGTGTTTATCAGGCTTTCCAATGAAGCATCAGCAGCCTCATAACTAGTGACAGTGAGTCCTGATACGATTTTGTGAGTTGTTGCTTCAATAATGTCCTTTTTCTGTAACCTACAGTATGTAATTTTTACTTCAGTTGGAAAGAGATTTTTCTGAAATGGGAATGTTTCTCATTCAAAGCAGTTGCGTCTTACAAAGTTCCCATCAGAGCAGATCTTCAGAGATGATGTACTTGACAGTAGAAGTCATCAGCAACAAGAGTTTGCACTCTCTTAATAAGACAAAAAAAATAGCCCCAAGCACAGCACATCTTCCAAAAGTTGATGGCATTGCTGGTCTTTGGGTTCTCAGTTTAACAGCCGAGATATCGTAAAAATGTGTTCCTCTGCGTGTTCAGCACAGCCAAAAGTATTCAACAATCTGCCAGTCCTTTTTGATAGCCTGATGGACTGCATCACTGGGAGTTTGATTCCCCTCCCCAAAAGTAAAACCATTTTGGGGATCTCTTACCTAATCCCTTATTGGGAATTTTTCTATGTGAAACAAAACTTGTATAATTTACAAACTGACATGCATGGTTTAAACTGCAACTGCCAGTATAGCTGTTGCATACAATTTATTAAGTGTACTTAAGCAGTTAGATATTTGTTCTAAATCTTTAAGAGAGGTGACAATATATCGGATTTTTTTTCCCTGATAGTTAGACAGAGTGCTTTGAAGTACTTTATTTCTGTCTTGCTTTCAGCGACGTTTCCCCATCGGTCTGGAAGCATCTCCCTTGGGCAGTGCAACTGGTCCAATGTCCCTCCTCAAACGGTTAGCACACAGAAAAGGCCGTAGTCAAATTATGACTGTGTGTTTTGGCGATAGATAGTGTAATGGTATCAATTCACAGCTGTGCAAGTTAAATTAGTGCCAAAGGAAAGTCAAATACTTTTAGAGTATAAGTACTTTTATGGAATGTATGTAAACATAGACGCACCCTTTCAGCATAAGGTGAATGACCGAGTGTGGGAAAGTAATGGAAGATTGGTGAGGAGGACTGTAAACAAGCTGAAGTGACTCGCATGTGGGCTGCTGGAAAAGACACCTATCACACTAATGGTTATGTAGTTTTGTGTGTTCAACAAGTAGAACATCTGCACCTAGGTAACATCAGCCTGGGATAGACTCAGGGGCACCTTATTGAACATGCTTGAGATTCCTGCCCGGCTGTTGAAGCGATCGAAGCGCAGCCAGAAACTGCCTGCCGGAATCCTTGAAATACAGGCCAGAACAGCAACTGGGAGCTCTCTCCCTCTCTCAGTCCCTTGCTAACAAGGACTCTCTTGCTAATAAGGACTCTTTCTCCACGATCCGTGCATCCCCTGCTTGCCTGGCTCTGCCCAGGTGCTGCTTCAGAGATTCCCCAATCCGTGAGGTATCGAGATTAAATTTATTCTTTGCCTTTAATATGTGGGTTTGTGGTTGTTGCTGTGTCCTGCCTGCATCAGCTCACACACTGAGCTTTGTTTTTTATTATTCCTTGGACTTTGCAAGGTTTTACCATTCCCTCTCAGCTGCACCGACCAAGGAGCGAGGTGAGCAGCAGCAGCAGCAAGGGCTGTAGCTGCAGTGGTGTGTTTGTCAGTGTCGACTCTGGTTTTTTTAGTATGCTGAACTATAATTGGGGATTTTTTTATTTTCCAGCTGCCTCATTGTATGCGTCTCATGCTGCTCGATAGATGCCCCAGACCAGGTTTGCAGCTGGTGGTGGAGCCCCCTGAGGAGAAGGAGCCAGCCCAGGGTCTCGTCCTTAAGTTCATTTTTTTTTGGTGAATAAAAAAAAAAGGGGTGGGGGGCTGGGGTGTGTGTCGGGGGAGGGTGATGACATCATTTGGGGCACCCTGATGTCATGTGGGGAGCAATGATGCAGTGGAAGAACAGGTGAGTGGGGGTTACATGGGGTTCCCCTCAAAAGAGGTGGGACAGAGCCCCAAAATGTCTGAAAATTAGGGAGGACGTGGGGCGTGAGGCATTGAACTACAGAACAATCTCTCATTTTTACATATATTGAAAAAATAATAGTCATTTCTGTATATAAAAGGTGTTCAAAATAAAAACCTATTTCTCTAAGGATTCTATGCTTCTATATTATATAAAGAAGTTTAGACTGAAAAGATTTTTAAAAGATTTATTTGTATAGTGTCAAAATATATGTCTAAACAGATAGTCTACTTAGGTGTTCTATATAATAAATGTTAAGATATGTCTAAATAGATCTCTTAACAGATATTCTATAGAATATGTATTCTCTAAGCGTGTGTATATATATATATATATGTAAATCGATACAGAAACGTAAACATCTATTCTGTAGAATTTTTTTCTAAAATGCAAAGAAAGCCTGTTTATAGGAAGGATATAGAAACTCGATCCCCCCTCACATCTCTTTTGAAGACATAAAAGCGCTTTCAAAAGCTGCCCCTTCCCCCTTTTCCTTTTCCCCTTCACATCTGGGGCAGTTTCCCCCGAACAGGGATGTTCCCGCGCGGGGGAACTGTGGCACAAAAATAACCGAAAGCCCCTGATTCTGGGACTGCACTGGGGAAAGCCCCCTAATTTTGGGAGATGAAAGGTCCTAGTTTGGGGCTCCCGTGAAAGCTAAATACACCTGGATTTGTGCTGCTGGGAAGGAGAAAACCCCATTTTCATGCAGGAAAGCAAAAATCACCAATGTTTATGTTGTGGATAAGGTGCCATCCCTGCCTCCCTTCCTGGTCCTGCTGCTGTCACCGCCTCGGCTCTGGTGCCACGCGCAGAGCGATGCAGCGGCCTTGGGTTTCGTTGCCAAAAAAGCCCCTGTTCCGCAGGTTTTTGGTACGGAGGCGATGGCTGTCGCTGCCTGGGCCGTGAGTGCGGGGCGGGGCAGAGAGCATGAAACCCCGCAACCTGGTAACGGTTACTGTGCCGGTGGAATAAACCGGGCTGAGAGCGCCCCCTGCTCGTGACCGTGATGAGTGCTCACGGGGGGGAAATGAAGAGGGGGGCGGCGCGTGGGAAGCAGAACCATTCAGCTCCCGCTCGGCCCCGCCTCCGCGCGCTGCGTCACGCTGTTCCGCTGCTCGGACGCACGCGCTGTTCCGCAGAGGCCGGGCTGGCGCCGGGGCCCAGGACGAACCGGCCGCGCCGGGGCCCCGGCGGCCTCGCTGCCACCCGGAGTGACTTCTGTGCCGCCCGCCTGCAGCCATAGCTGCGCCGCCCGGCCCGAGAGCGGCCATTAGCGCTCCGGTACCGAATATCACCGCGAAAGGGGACACCCGGAGGTGCCGGTCGGTCCTCCAGATGTTCATCTCTATGCCTTTCGGTACCCCAGAATACAGGCAATGCCTATCAGTCCTCCGGAAGTTTATCTCTATGGCTTTTTGGTCCTCCAGTTACCGGAAGCGGCCGTCAGTCCTCCGGAGGTTCATCTCTATGGCTTTTTGGTCCTCCAGTCACCGGAAGCGGCCGTCAGTCCTCCGGAAGTTAATATCTATGGCTTTTTGGTCCTCCAGTTACCGGAAGCGGCCGTCAGTCCTCCGGAAGTTCGTCTCTATGGCTTTTTGGTCCTCCAGTCACCGGAAGCGGCCGTCAGTCCTCCGGAAGATCGTCTCTATGGCTTTTTTGGTCCTCCAGTCACCGGAAGTGACCGTCAGTCCTCCGGAAATTCATCTCTATGGCTTTTTGGTCCTCCAGGACGCCGGAAGTGATCATCAGTCCTCCGGAAGTTCGTCTCTATGGCTTTTTGGTCCTCCAGGCCACCGGAAGTAACTGTGAGTCCTCCGGAAGTTTTTCTCTATGGCTTTTTGGTCCTCCAGGCCACCAGAAATGCCCATCAGTCCTCCAATGTCGATCTCTATGGCTCTAAGGTCCTCCAGGACACTAGAAATGCTTGTGGTTCTTTTCAAGAACACATGCTTCCAATATTCTAAGAGTACAGAAAGTGGTCAACAATTAAGGACCTAAATTCAGATCACAAAAATAAAACAGCCACTATAAAAATGTCTTCTCCACAGCAACAAGTGGCATGATAATCACTGGAGATTAGACAGAACTCCCAAATGGGGAAAAAAAAAAAGTATGGTCCTTAGCCTGCTGTAAACTTAAGGCAAGTGAGAAATACACCTCCTGGTCCTGTGGCTGTTTTTATGGCTTCTGAGGCTTTGCCCTGCCCTTTTCTCAGGGGACTGTGGGAAGGGCGGTGGGTGGGGCCTGGGATCTGACCATGACCTCTGCTCAGTAAAGTCATTCTGTGCTGGGGCTTTTCCAGGGACAGTGGGTGCTGGGTCTTCAGTTGACTGCAGCTCAGTCATTTGGGCATTTGGATTGTACTGGTCCAGACCGGTTCAAACCAGTTCCGACCGATCTGAACCGGTTCGAACCGGTCTGTACTAGTTCCAATTATTCAATTCTAGGGGGGTCCATAGGGGTCTGGGGATTCTGTGGGGGTCACATGTCAGTGACACCTTTGGGATCATGTTGGATTTTATAGTTTTTTTTAGTAAACTCATGTGCCCCATGAGCTTGTGTAAATACTTTGTCATCATCATAAAGATGGGAACATCTTTAATCCGGATTGAAGCATGGTGGATTTGCAAAGAAAGCACTGTGCATTACCAGAAATGTAGAACAAGAAGGAAAGAAGCAGATTCCTCTCTCTCTTATTCACTAGATTTAACACCTGTAGCTTTCTGTCACTTTTCAATTCTGTGTACTTGTGATAATGAACCTCACCTTCTGGCTTCCTTCTGTTTTATACAGAAAGAACCCATTTGATTTCAGCAGAAATACTGCTTATTTTGCATTGATAAAAATGCCAGAATAAACAGAGCGCAGGTCTTTGATTTTTTTAGAAAAAAAATTGGCTCTTTTCAGTTTTCAGAAAACTGGATCTTTTGCATTGTGAACATTTGAAACATGAAAATGTATTGATCGTAACCTTTGTCTCCAAACCAAATATTATTTCTTAAGGTCAGATGAGAAGTTCTGTTTACCCCTCCGTAGCTGGTTGAACGCTTAGAGGAATAGTCTACTAGGACATCTCGAATCCCCTGAAACAGAGGTCTGACGAGATGGATCATTTGAGGGTTTACGTGTGGCATGGGGTTATAATGAACCTCAGTGAATAATAACAATACTGTGAATTGGATTTAGGAAAGATCACGCTTCAAGGGTCCAGAACAGGTCTGCTTTATGCAATGACCACAGTAATAAGGTTGCATTACTTGCCCCGAAAAAAATAACCAGTATTCAGGTATAATTCATTTTAATGACTTGTTCTTCTCCTGTTATAACAGGAGGTTTCGTTTTCTTATTTCCATCCTCTCAGTTATGTTTTATAGGACATTAAATAATTACTCTGCTTAGTTACGAGATCAGTAGTAAACATGAATCGATTGTTCTTAGGTTAATCCCATCGACGTCTTAATCCCTCTAAGTGCTTTTCTTTTACTTGCTGTATTTGCCTTATGCGGTCCTTCCCTCGGTTATGTTTCGAAGAAGACCGGAAGCTGTCATGCTGACTTGATAGCAGTCACCAGGATCACTGTTCTGTTCTTCTGAAAATCAATTATTTATTCACGTTTTCTTCAGTGTTTTTGAGCTTCCTCTAATCTCTGTGAGAATTTGCTCCCACTGCAATTTAGCAAGCAGGACTTTTTTCATGTATTTGATACAACCTACGCTATTGGATTCTCATCAGTTGTCTTAAGATTCATTCAATGAGCTTTTTTATTTATTTATTCTAGTGT